TTCGCTCATTTTCCTCTCCACCACCCAGTCTTCGATATCATGCTGAGGAACATCTGCCGACAAGAGAACGATATTGGTTTCGGGAGCTAAACGATAGATCTGCAAAAGGTGTTGTTGCTACGTTGGCAATTTTGTTTTGACAAATGCGAACAGTTAGGACGGATGAAAAGCGATACCTCAATTGGGACCGAAACATTGTGCAAGCCATCACTGACCACCACTTCAAAGTCGTACACATCTTCACGATCGTTGATCAACGCTTTGGAGAGTGTTATTAGTCCACTTGTTTGATTCAACATGAAATGCTTCGCGTATGGAATCGTTGCTTCAGATATGGAATACGTTAACGGTACACGCCCGTCAGCATCTTCAGCCTGTGAATATCATGGAATTCTCAATTCACCGTATTCGATGGCACTGCCACGAAATCAGCTCATCCACAATACATTTTTACGAACGATCGCGAAGGTTTTCATGAAATTGACAAAAGTACGAAGCAATTCAGCTGAAGTGGACTATGATTTCGGCGATTTGCAATTGTTTTCATCCAAACCACTATCGAAAAGCAAAATCGCTTGCGGAACAATTTCTGAGAACTCAAGCTACTCAAGCTATTCTTAGATGCAGCACTGTTTTTTTTTTGCTGAACGCAAAATCGCGAAACCACACGCATTCATTTCTGCAACAAGTTGTTGCTAGTGAACGTTTCCTCAAACAACTCACATGGATACGAGCAATCGGCGTGAGTACAGGTGCTTGCCAGTCCACCGAAAACACATAAATACCATCAGAATTCAATTTCACAAACTGAGGCTCATTGTCATTTTCATCAATCACATGAACAGCTATCAACGTTTGCCAGGCTTCCAGTTTTGATTTCGTATCTTAACGAGTAATTATTATGTAATTTTACTGCAAATTTCCATTAAGAATGTGAGAGTCTACTCATTGAGATTAAAATCTCTGTTCAAGAGGCCATTGGTTATCAATTTAATGGCTTACCAGCAGCAAGAATTTTGCTTTTCATCAGTTTATTTCTTAAAAAGTGATGATAAAACGAAAATGCAATTGCTCAGCAACAGAGATGATGTGAACAAATGATATTAAGTATAACTCGATCAGTATTTATCAAAATATTGATGAACTGCGCAGAGAAATGCACTTACGTTCAATGACTGGGTTGATTTGTCGTGTGGAACGAGT